AGCACCTGGACTGTGTTTTGCAAACGGGGCTTTTCATCCAGTCGAAGGAGGACATCCGAGGTAAGCCAAATTCACGTGGCCGATCTTATAATTGACTACTCCAAGATAGCCATTAAGTCCGTTTTTGACCGCACGGATTTGCCACAAATCGCGCGCAGTGACTCTCTACCAGTCGTCAAAAATTGCTTCGCACTGGCTTCCATATTTCTTCGCGTGTCTCAAAAATATGTGCGCTCATAGTGACAAGCTCTAGCGCCTACAAATCGGACCTAAAGTCACACTAGTGATTTGTTTAACAAAGAACTTCTATTTTTTTTCTTATGTAAGATATTTGCAGCATCGTTGATTTTTATAAGCAATGTATGCCACGTCTGATGAGTTACGTAATCGGCCCTATGCGATCGATGGCTATGGACGATGTCGAGTTCGTGTTACTGAAAGCGATTGTGTTTTTCGGTGAAGGTTCGTCAACTGTCGTAATTATTATTTCATGCAAAAAGCCGACGGTTGGCCCTGTATTTGTTTTATCCACTATTTATGTATTATTTATACATTTATGTTTGGTCCCTATCGCATTGCCACTCAGCAAGTAAACAGCTCTGATTACACATTAGGCCGATGTCAGACTTTGCGAATCGCGCGATTCGCTAGCGTCTGCGGTCGCGTCGCGGCCAGTGAATCACTCAATTGGCTGGTACCGCAACGCGACCGCGGACGCTAGCGAATCGCTCGATTCGCAAAGTCTGACATCGGCCATAAGGCGACGAGCTTTCTCTACTTCCAGTCATTGCCTACCACCGCGTCAGACCGATTTGAAAATTTTTACCACCCGTGCTTTTCAAGGGGGTATCGACACGATCCCTCATCCACTGCAATGACCCCATAGTCTCTCTTATGGCAATCTTGAATTGCTTGAGCTGCCTTTTAAAAATCGAACCTTTTTCCGTCGGCTAAAAGTGCCGTTGAATGCAAAAAGCGGGGCCTTCAAGGCACTTCACCGAAAAGTGCAACCACCAATTACAGCAGAATATCGAGCAGCTTTCAGTAAAATGGTAGATTTTCTGCTAGTTTCACATCGTAGTGGGTAGAGGGTTTGCGCCATGCACTCTCCGAAAAAGGCTTTTCAATAATAAATAGGGTCATGAGTAAACAGAGACCCAACCCGTTCCCTAAATTCCTCCTCGTATCCATCGCGTTCTTTCAGGCTCGCCCAGCAGAACTGTGTTGTTGTCGGGTTTGACAATGAAGACCTAGCCCAGCTTGAAGGTCTTGGTACCAAAGGAGTTGCGCTCTCCTAACACTCAGAAGGTCCTTATGTACCTAAAGCTTCGTTTCTTTTCTCGTCGTATAACGAACTAAAGGGCATGTGGTGAGGAATGCATTCAAAATCGCGTTAAACATCTCCTTTTTGTCAAGAATGGGACTAAGCCTTAGGCGGGGCGGAGAGACTCCAGGATGCGTGAGCACTTTTCATGAAATTCCTGCCGTGTCTTCTAGGCTTAGTCCTAGAGATGCCCCCGTATATTGCGATAGCTCCATTTCCTCTACCGGTGTGGACTTCTGTTTCAATATTTAATTGACGTTTTTTTCAGATTTTGGACTGAGCTCCGAAGGAAAAGCAGTGGTGGCAAAAGGAAAAGAGCGTTTTCTCAACGCCTTGTACGCATACGTGAGGAATCAAAAAGTGGACAACGCTCCGCACGCAACTTGTCGTGTTGCCAAGTACATGCTTATGCTTTCCGCACTTACGGTGGGTAGCCACGCCCCTTCGTTGGTCGCTCCGCCCATTATACAATTGATTTCAGGCGCTTTGCCATCTGCTGAACGAGGAAGTTCAGATGACAAGTTTGTTTAACATAATCGAATTCGACGAATTGATTCAAGCCTGCCACAAGACGAGTCCACCACGATCACCGATAGACCACACCTTTCTTGACGTTGTGCACCTCGCGAACGGTCGCGAGCCTCTCACTCGTGACCTAGTACAAAGTATGCGTATTGATTGTAGACCTCGCGCTTGCTAGGCTCTTTGTACAGTTTTTTTTCTGTTCCGTTCATTAATTTTTTCTTTGAAACTTGTATAAGAGCATTTGATCCTCAGTGAATGTACCTCGGCCGACCAGCCGAGTCGTCCTTTTTTTGGATGCCTGCCATGTAGGCAATGTTGGTTTAATCATCATTCATTTAGGACTACGGTAAGAAGAGATTTCTGCAGATTATAATATTATCATTTCTTTTAATTAAATCGCCCGAACGATTCTATGATTTGAACTATGTTAGTTCGTCGTGTCAAGAGATTCTAGTGAAAACTGATTCTGTGATAGTTTTGTGTGATTCGCCCGATTAATTTGTTAACTAGATTTGTACTATGTAATGATAATGACTGTTATGATCATGTTTATAGGCAGAGGTAATGAAAGACTTCTTCATCCTTATTGACGGCCGTTATTAATGTGGGTACACAATGGGTTATGCCTCACGGGAATGAAGAGCTCCGCAGAGTGAATAAGCCCGAATGTTGCCACCCAACTACTTTCCGCTTTCATCTCAGGTA